TGATATGCATATTAAGAATAGTTGAAGATAAATTACGAAAGTATTGTTTTTTTTTTTTGATTTAAATTAAAGAAGAATAACTAATTGATACGAGATGAAATTTGATTGAGAAATAAAATTGGAAATATATTAATATTGTTTATTAGTTAGTTCCGTGTGTTTTCCTCTTCCTGTTTTGTATACTCATGTCTATAATAGTACTATTGTTTTGAAACTCGACATTATGAAATAGACAGATTATAGTTAGTATTTGAATAATGTTAATTTAATTCAGCAAAATTTAATTGTTATGAATTGATTATTAAAAATATTTGTATTTTTAATACTAATTGAGTTGAAAATGAAATACAAATTTAAAATAAAGGAAATTATCTTTGAATTAGGAAAGAATGAATAAACCGGTTGTCAATTAGATTGTAGCCATTAAAGTTCCATTATTAATAATGAAACTAGTGAAGCATTATTCAAATAAAAAACTTTCTTGTTCATAAATTTCATATTTAGAATTCTTTTGAATAGATCAAAAGAATATACCTTCCGTTATTAATAGTACTAATGAGAAAATATTCCTAGATGTTGTTATAATCTTCAACCGAGACTTTATGCATCATATTGAACTTAATGAACTATATATAATATTAAAAAGAGTTCGTTCTGAAGAATTGTTTCTAAGGAAATCGAGTATTATTTAGTAAAAGCTGACTGTAGAACTTCACATTTGTAGTGTAAAACCATAGTTTTGAATTTCGATTTGAAATTTAATTTGATTACCTCAAAAACATAAACTTTATTTATGTTAGACAGAGTTCATTGAGGTACACGAGATGTACCAACAAGAAAAAATTTCCGGATGTCTCCTGTTGATTTCAATTATTGTTTTGCATATAGTTACTACATCGTATATGCTAGTAAAAGGACTTGAGTTTCTATTGATAGTTAACAGAATTATTGAATTTATAATATGTCTATTTGCTAGAAGCGACCGAACGATTCCATGTTTTCGTACTAATCGTGTTTTGAATATTATATTCAATCTATCTTGATTTGAATGATATTATATAAAGTAGTTTGATTAAATGTTAAAAGGAACCGAAGTTATTTTAGGATGGCCATTAGAATATAATGTAATATATATATATTACATTACTTATTTTCAGATAATTTCCAAACAACAACTTGAAGATAAATTTGTTCTATTCATTTTCTAATATATTGAAAGTATCAATTCTACTTTAATGCAAACATTTTTTCTTAGTATATAAACGACAATTTTACAATTGAATTTTTACACTACTTGTGACCTCTTTTATGCACCTGAAATCATTCGTACAAAATGAGTCATTTCTTGATCAAATAAAAATTTTTTTTCTTGTCAATTCATTTTTTTCGATATCAGTGCAAACATGAGCAACACCATCAAAACTGAATATAACATTAACAATGTCTACAAAACTTTTAACGATGTTCTTGATAGATCTGATATGAAATCGCTTTATCTTCATCAATTTATTATTGCTTTTCGAGAATTGTCAAAGTAAGTATTAATAATATATAATTAATTCTAATATATTCCTATTTTGTTATGTAGATTTTTTGATCATCTTAATGTAGTTTTTTCATTTGTTGCTCATGATCTTGCTGATAAATATCATATTATTGAAAATCTTTGTAAAATTAATCCAATAGATTATCGTACAATACAAACAATGATTGAATATGAAAAATATCGAGATGATAAAATTGGAACAATTGCACTATTACGTTTATTAAGAGCTTTAGAATTTATTTATTCTTTTTTAGAACGTGGTATTATGTCACCAAGTGATTCATCAAAAACAACAAAACAACTTGCTTGGGATATATATAAACAAACTTTACATAAACGACATAATAAAGCTGTTCATTTAACTGTATGGTTAGCAACAGCAACAATACCTAAACGTGAAATATTAAAAGAAAATCTATTACATGGTGAAATTGAGCCTAAAACAGCTGATAAATGTTTTCCATTAATTGAAAATATTTATCGTTCTATTTATAAATTATATGAACAAAATGATTTACTTGAATTAGTTCATTTGTAATAATAAAAAAAATAATCTCTTGATTTTTTTTTACTCTATTTATTTGTCAGAACAAAAAAAAAACAAAAAGGTAACTTTTTACATGCAGAATTATTTCATGTCTTTTTGTTTTTTTTCTTTTTTTTAATTAATTAATAAAATTATTAACTCTTGCGAAGACCTAATGCAGGTATTAATACGACGAGAATTATAACACCAATTGTAATAGCTACAGAAACAATAACTGTCACTTTCTGAAAATGAAAATAGTTTTTGGTTTTTTTTTACAAAAACTATATATTTTAACTTACTCGTCGAGAAATACTACGTGATGTTCGTTCAATAACTGTTATTGCATCTTGTGTAGTTGGACCATCAACGAAAGGTGTATCAGCAGACATCATCATATCACGATCATTTCTAAGCTCCTAAAATATTTTTCTTTTTTGAATGAAAATTATGCACTTTATTTTAAAGAATAAGTATGAATAAAATGATCTATTTTAATATAAATCAATATTGAACGATTCAAGTTTTAATAAGATTAATATGAATGAAAAAATTGCTTTTTTTTTCGATGAATCTAAAATATCCATTTGATAATCATGTATCTCTTATTGAAATTCAAAATTGTAGAATTTCATAAATATTATGTCATTTTTTGAAAAAATGACAATAAAATCTTCAAAAGTAAATATTATTTTTAGGGCGAAACATAGTTTGCATTTTTCTCTTAAACAATAATGTTGAGGATTTTTTAGTAGGAAAACAAAACAAACATTTTTTTTAGTATTTTACATTACCATGACATAATTATAAAGCAAACAAGAAAAAAAAAAACATCACTGTCAAAAACTAAATTGAATCAAGAACCATTTTACAAAATTAGTTTTTCCTCTATGAAAAATTCATCCATAGTTATCATGATCGTGTAGAGATTGAAATTTTATTCTGTGATTTTTCGCAAGAAAAATTTTCTTTAAAATTTTTTGAATTCAATTTAATGCTTAATATTGATTTCGAAGTTTAATATTTATCTTGCTTTATAATTGTGTCATGGTGATGAAAAACGCTGAAGCTGTTTTTCTTTTTCAAATAATAAGTCATCAGAACCATTATATAACAGAGAGAGAGTGAAATGTAAAACCTGTTTTGCCCGAAAGGTGCTATTTACTTTTGAATATTTTTCTTTTACCATTCTGTAGAGAATAAAAAGTTGCATGGCATATATAAAGCTTAGCTTGAAATTCTTAGATTATGAGTGCTGACAAAAGATAGATTATTATTGAATAGACATGTAGGACTTATCGAAATGCAATTTTTTTTTATTCATGTTAGTCTTGTAAAATTTGAGTCATTCAACATAGATCATTTTGTTTAGCTTTTTAGTATAGAGTTTATAATAAAATTTGAATGATTCGTTTATAAACAATAACGAAAACAAATTTTACAGGATATACTTTGCTGTTTTTCTTATATACTAGTAAAAAAGTGGGGTATAGAATGCTAATATTTAGAAGTCAATAGTGTCCTACATTGATGTACTCAATGCACACACAGAAAAGAAAAACAATTTTTATAGAGTACCACATCTATTTGATGATCTCATCATTTCTATCGTAATTATCTTTAACAGCATGCGAAACAGGAAAGAAAAGCAGAGTATTTTAGTCCAAGAAACAAGATTGCTAAGTGAACAATTTTCAAAAATAGAAGCATGCATCACACCTAATACGCCTTTCAATAAGTAACACTTTGGATTGTGATGAATTTTTGTTTTAGATATTACAAATATTTTATCCTTTTTTTTTGTTTTCTCTATTTTGTGATATATTGCTTTAGAGTTTTAAATAGGAATAGCAAATGATAATAGAATATTTAGTTTGGATTTTCCTTTTCTAACAGTTTAATTTAATTAATTTGGTATAAAAAAAAATTAATTTTTACATACATTAGCTGTCAAAGTATTGTTCGTACGTTCCAACATTATCCGTTTATTCTGCGTTGTTCGGTCACGTAACTGTGTTCCATTTTCAGCTCGACAGGAAGCATCATCTTCTTTTCCGGTTTAGTTAGAAAGAGAAAAAGAGTGCTTCATGCGTTCTTTCTTCAATTCTTTTCTTTCTTTTTTCATCATCATATATCAGAAAATACTGCTTGATCGGCGAACTGCCAATCATGTCTTTTTTTATTTCCTATTATCAACTTACTGAATTTCTTTTCTTTCTTTCTTTTTTTTTTTTTTTTTACATAACAATCAATGATTGAATAGATCTATAATAATAATTTCTATTTTTTTTCCTTTAATTTTATGCAATAGTAATCGTACTTTCGAAAGATCTGATTACAGATGATTATAAAGATAATGTATCCTGAATTAGAGATATGATATATGCGATTATTTATGCCAAATGAAAATTTTAAAATGAAAGAAAAAAAAACGTTTTCTTTCTTTTATTTTGTTTTTTTATGATTCGTCTATACTATAATTACTGATATTTTACAGTTAGTTGATTTTATTTTTATTTATTTTTTTCTTAAACGTTGTCAAACGTTTCTCTATAACTATTGTGTGTGATTGAGATGTTTTGCAGAAAAAGAAAGCAAAAATAAGTGAATAAAAGAACGTGCCATTTACTTTATTTCTTTTTCCTTTTTCTTTTTTTTAATGCAAATTATCAATGACATGACTACAGATGACGTGCAATCTAGTTTTATAGACTAATATCTTTAGTTATGTAAATGTATACTATGGTGTAGATTTCCACTGATCTATTTTTTATATCCTACTAAAATATTGACTTTCATTTAAAAGAAATGAATATTGTTTTTCTTTTTCGTTGACAAAAATTCAAAATATACATGCATTTATTATCATATGTAATTGGATATTTAGTTTCTTTTTCTCTCCTATAGATTATTTTCGTTCTAGTTTCAATGGCATCGTTTTATTGTAAGTAACAACTAGCGTCTTCTATTGATAAAAATATCTACTAAAAAAACAATTTATATATAGCATTCATTATCATATTATTATTATTGAGTTTCTTTCAACCAATAAATTCAGAACCAGAAAATTTATTAATATCTACTACAACTTCAAAGTTCAATTTATATGATAATGTAATAATAACAACAACAACAACAATAAGTAGTATTATAGAAAATAAAACTGATCATACATCAACTTCAACAAGTACATATTTTAATACTACAACAACAATTTTGATTGTTAATACAAGAATAAATTCATCGAATGTACCTATAAAAACAACTGCACAATCTCCTCCTCTTTTATCAAGTATAACTTCGACAATAGAATCAACTATATCTGATCTTAACAATAATCATTCTAAAAAATGTAAGTTAATTTGAAAATTATTCATTAGAATTTTCAACAAAAAAAAGATGCATAGAGAAATATTTGTAAAACAAAAAAAATCATTGAATATTTTATTCTTGAGAAGTTCTCATTCGTTCTTTCTATAAATAAATATCATACTTGACCTAAATCTCTTTTTTTCATGAACAGCATCATCAAGATCAAGATGGTGGTTATTCACTACTCTTATAGTAATTGTAGTGGTTATCATTAGTATTGCTATTATATATTATCAACGACGACATACACCATATACAAGGTATATATAACATTTCTAATTAACAAATATCAACGAATATATTGCTTATGAGATAAGGATGCTTGAAATAATATCTTTCAGATGCATACAATGGTAAAAATAGTGTCAATACAGGTAGAAATTTACAATAACAAAAAAAAAAAAATTATATCTGTCTAGAATTTAACTAGTATTCATTGCATGCATACATTGTATTCTATGATATTCTTTTTTTTTTTTTTTGTTTCCATAATCTTTACTTTTATTTTTATTTTTTTGCTCTTATTAGATTTTTACGAAATTGGCAACCACATGATGATGATGCAGATAATACTATTCTTCAACTCGAACAACCTGATATAATGAATAGTCAATGGCCACATCAAATATCTTTAGTTTAATAATTTATTTTTTTTTGTTTTTTCTTTTTTATTACTATATTACGATAAATAATTATTCTTGTTATAACAATCCAGATAAATAACATTTTGTTCTATTGATTAAGGTGCTCTAAGACTCCAACCACTTTGTTTTGCACGTTTTTCACGTTCAGTTGTTTTTGTTTCATTCCAAGTATTTAAACGTGGATGTTCACGTTTTTTTGTATCACATTGAAATTGTAATGTATAAGCACGACGTAATTCATTTGAACGATTAGGACCAGTATAATGTAAAGTACGACAATGATGAAATGTTGCACCACCACTTGGAAGAGGACATGAAACAATATTTTTTGTATATTCATTTGCATTATCAACTTCAAGACCATGTATACGTGGATTATTATTTTGAGTATGATGAGATAGTACATCAAATTTACGATGAGAACCAGGAATAAATTGCATACAACCATTTTCAAGTGATACTGGTTGAAGAGCAACCCAAACACCAAGTGATTCATAGGTTAATGTTGGATCCCAATAAGCTTCATCTTGATGCCATGGTGTTGGAAGTGAATTAGATGTTGGAGGTTTTAAAATTGCATGATCCTAATCGAAAAGAAAACAAAGAATTATTGAATATTGAAATATATTTGTTTTGTTGTTTTTTTTTGGTTTTGGTTATCATACTCCTTTAAATTCTGTATTTTCACCAAGTAAAGTTTTACTGATTGCATATGCATTTGCATACATTTGAGTACTATATAAATCAAATCCGGTCATATTTTTACCATAGAGTGATGGCCATAAAAGTTGTGGTGCAACAGCTTCTTTATCATCAGTATCTTCAGAAAGTAAATCAAAAAAATTTCCATGTTCACGACCAAGTTTAGCAGAAAACCACTATATCAAAAACAAAAAAACCAAGAAAAACTATAAGAAAATATTATAATTTGATTATTAATATGGATACTTGATCGTATTGATCACGAATATGAGACACTTCATCATCATCAATTAGATGATCAATACTTAAAAAGCCATTGGTTTTAAAAAAATCAATTTGTTCTTGAGTTAATTTAATTGTTGGTTCTTTAATCGGTTTATCTGTTTTGGGTAGAGTAAAATGAGCATGAGCTTGATGTGGATTGGTGATTGTCTCCATTTAGACTTATTCAAATAATAAAAATATGATAAAAGAAGCATATATAACTTGTATATCTTTTTTTGTTTTTTATCTAATTCGTTTTAAGTTGCATTTGCCTTAGTGTCATAAAAAGTCTGTCTAGATAAACGCAATTTCTTTATCTTCTATAACCTTTAAAAAAATAACATTAACGATTTATTTATTCAAAAAAACAAGTTACATATTTGACTTAATGTTTCATTAAAAAAATGCAATATTTATCAATGATACTAGAAAAATCATATACAAGGATAAGAGAACAATCATGGCCATTTCATTAAAAACCTTGAACAAGAAAAATGGTTTAGTAGCGACGTACTTTGGCGACTTTTGTATCGTGGCATACTATTTGATGATTTTTTCACATAGAAATTCAAATAGGTAAAATACAGAAAGAAAAACAAAAATGATTGATTTTTTGTTTTCTTTATCGAATGTAAAAAGAGAAGATTATCAATCAATTTTTTGTTTTTTGTATCAATTAAACGAAGCCAATGAATCTTTTATTAACAGCACTCAATACAACAACTAGTCCTCCATCGTCTGATACAAATACTCCTCTTTGGATAGGCTATATATCTGTTATAATAGCAGTAATTTTTTTTGGTTCTAATCTTGTTCCAGCTGGAAAATATCCTATAGGTGATGGTTTATCATTTCAATTTTTTATGTGTTGTGGTATTTGGATTGTTGGTCTTATTATTGATTTATTTGTAAAAAGTCCTCAATTTTTTCCATTAGTTTTAATTGGTGGAATCTTATGGACAACAGGAAATATTCTAAGTATTTTTGTTATTCGTATTAATGGTTTAGGAATGTCAATGTTAATTTGGTGTACAACAAATATGCTTGTTGGTAAGTATTTCAATTGATATAAATTTCATTCCTTTTTGTTTTATCTTTTTTGCATTTATTTCTTTTTTAATTAGGTTGGGCAAGTGGACATTTTGGTTGGTTTGGTTTATTACCAGAAAATGTTGAACAACCAATACTTAATTATATTGGTGTTACAATAGCTTGTTTAAGTGGTATTGCATTTTTAGCAATACGTACAATAAAACAAGAAGAAACTATTCAAAATTTAGAAGAACAACAACCTATTCTTCAATCATTACCAATTGTGACAACATGTAATGATGCAACACCAATTGATACAACAACTATAACTGTTTCATCAACATCATCTAAAAGTTTATATATACGTATTATTGGTTGTCTATTAGCTACTATTGCTGGTATTTTATTTGGTTTTATTTTTATTCCAAGTACTTATATTCAAGATCATCCTAATATATATCAAGCAGCATCAAAAAATGGTCTACATTATGTATTTGCAATGTATTCTGGAATATTTTTTTCATCTATGTTTTACTATCTAGTTTATATTGCTTATAAAGGTAATCGACCATACCTTCATATTCAAAGTATATTTCCAGCAATCATATCTGGTATTATGTGGGGTATTGCACAAGCTGGTTTTCTTGTTGCAAATAGTGTTTTAAGTCAAGCAATATCATTTCCATTAATTACAATTGGACCTAGTACAATTGCAGTATTTTGGTCAATATTTTATTTTAAAGAAATTTTTGGTCGAAAAAACTATTTGATTATTATTATTGGTACTTTATTTCGAATTATTTCTGCTATACTTATTATATTATCAAAACCAATACCACGTTAAATTTCTGAAAACATTCATATTTTTTTTTGTGTATATTTTTATTTTATGTTGTATGTTTTGTGTATATAACGAATAGAAAAAAAACAACAACAATAATTATATTTGCCACACAAAAAATGGCAAAAAAACAGGCAAAAATGAAAACAATTTCTTTTTCTTTTTTCAATATCAGTTGCCACGTCCTCGACCACCACGAAATCCACCACCACCACCGCCTCGACCACCGCCTCGACCTCGAAATCCACCACCACCACCGCCGCCACCGCCACCACGGCCGCCTCGGGCATTAAAACCACCACCGCCACCTCGGCCACCACGTTGGAAACCACCTAAACACAAAAAAAAGAAATTCAATATGATACATCAGAAATATGAGTAGTTATCCTAAATCATAGTTTTCCATAAAGAGAATATCTGATTCTAGATTAAAAAAAAAAGTTTTATAAGGCATAAAAAGTGCGATATTTTTCTTTTAGTCAAATTTAAAATTAGATTTTCTATTCGAAGTCTCCGTTCGATTTCTTATTGTTTTGATCGTGTCTATTACACCTCAGAAAAGCAATTTAACAAATACAATATCATACCTCTACCACCACCTCCACCACGTCCTCCTCGTCCACCACCACCTGTTGGTTTAGATCCTGCTGGTCGTGGTAAAAATCGAGCCAATGGCAATAATTTATTTGGATCAACGAAAAGCTACAAAAAAGAAAAAATTACCCAAAAAATGATATATTCAATTCAATTACTTTTTCATTTTTTTTGAATGAACTTGGATTCATATTTTCCAATAATGTTACAGAAAACCACTAAATAGAAAGATGAAAAAAAATTTGTTCATAGATTAGATCATATCATATTTTTATTTTCTTACATATTGTTTCATTGGACCAAGTATTTCATCTACTTTACCAATTTGTTGTTTATTCTGAAGAAAGATACCAGCATTAAAATACGGAATCATATCATTTGTTGCCTTGCATACAAGTTGACTTTCACATGCATGTGAATAGGATCCAATTTCTATTGATCAAAAGAAGTTTTAATAATGAAAAAAAAAATATATATCTTACCAACTACAGAATCAGGTGGACCTTCAGGTTCTCGATTAAATCTACCACCACCTCCTCCACCACGGCCGCCACCACCTCGACCTCGGAAACCTCCACCACCTCCACGACCACGGCCACCTCCTCTAGAATCTCCACGTCCTAGATTAATTAAAAAAAGAAAATACATGAACAATATTTCAAAAAATTAATTTTATACCTCCTCGGAATGGACCCATTTATGGAATATAAATCAAAGCAAAAAAAGAAACAGACAAATACGAACTGTTGAGAATCTAGAATTGATATCAAAGAAGAATTATTGTCGAAATTCAAATATCTTCCATAAAATATCGATTTAAATATTGATTGGTAATTGTTTGAATGAAAAACAACCAATTTAAAAATAATGTCTCATTATAGAGGGAAGGTCATATTTGAAATAGAGGTCACTATTAACACTAGAACTTAGAGTATATAGTTCATCTATTTTGTATTTCATCATTTGAGTTTCAATATTTCTTTTTCAATATTTTATCTCAAATATGTGGTATGATTTTTGTCTACAATGACGTGAAAATACTGAATCATGATGATCGTTGAAAGACAAAAAATGAAATGTCTTTTTCAGTTCGATTGTCAATAAAAGAAATGTGTAGAAAACAGAGTTATTACAAAATTTTCTGCAAGTTCTTATTTTTCATTCTTTTTTTTTTTCTTACAGATAGTAAATGTTAGGTAGAAAAAATCCGCTCCTTCTGTAAGTGTTTAAGTTACCTTGAATAATATTTTTTTTTTCTTTTGCACTTATCGTCAACCATACGATTAATCATTATAATGCATATTAACTTCCTACACATATTTATTCTTAGTATTTTATCATGACCTGAAGACTTATTTAAACGAATTTTCTTTTATCAATACCTAGTTATTGGTGACATATATTTTATTATTAATAATTAAAAAATATGGAAGATAAAAATTCAAATAAATTATCTGATGATTATCAAGAGAGTACATGTTCTATACAATGTGATACATTACTTCAACGAAATCAGTCTATTGTTAATGATTATTTTAAATTTTGTTCGACACAATTAGTTTT